CACTAAATGCATTATTCCCACAAGTCTGAACTGGCAGTGATTTGCGCAGCTTAACAGGAGGGGTCAGGGAACCATTGGACCCTCCACTTTACCGCCCTACCCATTTTTATTTGTTATTTGGGTTCCATCTCCTAACAGGCATAGAGCAAAGTGTCAATAGAACCACAACACGACCTGGTGGGCCGGTCTATCAGTCAAACTACTTGTGATGCCCACTGGTGTGTGCTCACAAAAGTGAAAAAAGAGCATGCATTTCTTTAAATGTTTATGGGGTTATGATAAGAAGATATTTTATTTGTTAACAGGGGTTAAACACGATGGGTGCAGTAACGGTGTTTCACCGGTAGGTGGTGTATTGGGACTCTGAGCTGCCTGTTGCTCTGCCGTTTCTCATAAGCTGAGAGAAATTGGAGTAACACAAACTGCGTCTCCCGTGTGCTCATTTACTTGAGGTGAGAATAACCCTAAAGTTTATTTTAACTAAGTACTTTTATTATTTGGTACTGTTCGAGGATTGTTTAAGGAAATGTAATGTGTTAAAAGATATTATACGAGTTTTGTTGTGTTTCGGAGCCAGCAGCGGCTAGAGGAAGTAGCCAACAGGCCATGATGCTAGTTGGTTAGCACACACTGTAGCGGTGGGAAAGAGCGGGCTACTAGGTGCAACCATAGACATTAATACAGGGGTCCCCAAACTTTTTCCTGTGAGGGCCACATAACTTTTCTTTTCTCTGCTGGCGGGCCGGAGTCAGTTTGTAACAGAAAAAGTGTGACGATTGCAGGAGTGCCTAAATGTAAAAATGTATTGTTAGCACAATCAAATAACCCTCTCTGGGTTCTTCACAGAAAAAATCCAGGAAATAAATAATAACACTGTTAATGAAATAAATACCGTATTTTCCGGGCTATAAGCTGCAGATATATCTGCCGCTCCAGGTTTTCCACAACGATGCAGCAGCATCAGAGGGGGGCGGACAGCCAACATTTGAGTCATAACAGGTCAATTAAATATCACATTTATGACGGTTGAAAAAGAAAAAGTTGCCAAGTTTAGATTTAACTGAACTGATTACGGTAGTTTCCGAACGGTAACTGTAACAGTAAAAGTGCTGATCCTTCGTGTCTGCTACTAGCATGTGCTAAATGAAAATAGGCGCTTCCTTCTTCATCTTTAGATTTCAACGGCAGCTTGCATCCATTATTGTTGCACTACTGCCATCTATTGGATCGTAATATATATACCTCAAATTCTCATAATGATCCCAGTATTATTTAAAAAAACAAAAAATCTTCCTTTTCCCCTCAGTGTTATTTAATTGATCAACAACATTCTCAAATTTCAATTCCCTATTAAAAGCTAATTCAGTTTTAATGGGCGCTTTCTTCTTTTATTTCCAATTTTGACTTCCAATGATTCACTCCTTGCTAAAGAGCCCCCTGGTGGTTGAAGAAACCACCAATGTGGAGGCGGGCCAGATCCGGCCCGCGGACCGTAGTTTGGGGACCACTGCCGTAAACTCACAGAGCAACCTCACTGATATGCAGCACTGTTCAAAATGTTTTTATAAAATATATATTGGTATGTAGAGATCACAGAGGACTGAAAAGTGATTTCTGGGGATAATGTGCTGAGCTGGAGCAAATAAATCCGGTAGAAATCATCAAAATGTTTTTGTTCTTGTCATGTTTAAATGTTTAAATGCACATTTTAAATTCAGGTAAAGATGATACGAGTAAAAATCTAAATGCAGTGTTTGAAAAAATTAAATAATAAAAGTAATTTATTAGGAAAATGTAACCAGAAATAACTGGCTTATAGAATATTTTTTGCTCATTATTTTTCTTCTTTAAAGATTTATTTTTAATTCAGTCCCACCTTGGACAGCCTGCTTAAGGAAAAGCCAAACCATCCATCCATTTTCTTACACCCTTGTCCCTTAGGGGGGTCAAGAGGGTTGCTAGTGCCGATCTCCAGCTAACGTTCAGGGCGAGAGGCGGACAGGTCGCCAGTCTGCCGCAGGGCAGCACAGAGACACACAACCATGCACACACACACCTAGGGACAATTTGGAGAGGCCAATAACCTGACAGTCATGTTTTTGGTCTGTGGGAGGAAAACGGAGTACCCAGAGAAAACCCACACATGCACAGGGAGAACATGCAAACTTTGGGAATTGAACCCAGAACCTTCTTGCTGCAAGGCAGCAGCTCTACCAACTGTGCCACTGTGCAGCCTGGAAAAGCCAAACCAATCAAATTTAAATCTGGGCTTTAACTAGGCCACTTCAAATCCTTTTTTTTTTCAGCCAATCAATATCAGACCGTCTATTGTGCTTTGAGACAAAAGAGTTTCTGTCACTTGGATGATTTCTGTTACGTGGTTCGCATGTGTTGCAACTTATATTACTGATGGAAGTGCTTCTGCTTGGGTTTTCCAGGTTATTCATTCATAATGACGGTCTGAGTGTTTGCCACAGTGAAAATGTTCTTACTCTGGCAGGGCGCGCCTGATGATGCTGTGAACTTGTCTGTAAATGTCCAGTTTGGATAGACAGCTGCACTGGGTGTGGTTGGCCACGCTGATGGTTACAGGCTTGGTGCCCTGGGTGAGAGGCACTGTGATCTCGAAGAGCTGCAGAGAGAGCAACAAATGAGAGGAAGAACAAGAAAAACATCAAAAAAACACCACAAACACTGTGAAATACAGCAAGAAACTCATTTAATTTCTTACATTTAACACATTAGGCATAAAAAATGTTTTACATAAGATACAAATATTAAGTGTATAATATGGAAATCTGAAACAAACACATGCAACAGCCAAATTGTGCAAATGAGTCTGCAGTCAAGAAAGACTAACAGACATAGCAAACATAGTTTTAGCTGTCAGTCAGATGCAGAAGAAATTAAAACTCCTTCAGAAAGTTGGATAAATATAAAGTGTGTAAAATATGTTCCCAGTTAGTGTCTGAAATGTGGTGCAACTCCAAAGAGAAACTCCACAATAAAAGTGCAGTTGTTTTGTTGCATCACTTCCTAGAACACATTTTCCTTCCACTCAACTTTCTATGTGAACTCTGTAAGACCTTTAGTGGCTGTCATCACTATATATTTATATCACGTGTGTCAAACTCAAGGCCAGTGGGCCAAATCCGGCCTGTCATAGCTTTATGTGGCCCTCTAGATTCTAAACACTAAATAAATATTATGTTAACAATCAAATCAATGCAGTTTTTACCTGCTTACTGCCAAATTACATCAATCAGTCCCTCCAGTTTCTTGAGAATTATAGTGGAAATTCACACAAAATCAACAAATCCCCACATTTTTGTTCTAATAATTGGAAACTTATGGCAGATTTTTCTCAAAAACTGTCAAAACCTTTTTTACTTGTACTAAACAGCGGCCTCAGCCTTAAAACTCAATTTAGCCAGTTTTTTGTTATCATTTATCATGTCCATTGACCTGCAATTTTACATTATTTGTTTGAAAACGAGCAAGTAGAAGATTCAAGATCTTAAATTATTCCCACATTGAATGACGTTTACATCTCTCATTCTCATCCTTAAAAGTACAATTATTTATGGCTTTTTAATATTATCAACAGCATTTTTGGTCTTTGAAATACCCATACTATACAACATATTTCCCAATAAGCTCCTAAACTGGTTCATATTTTTACTTTTTTAAAACTCATAATTTAATCCATCACATAAATCTTCCCCACACACTGATAAACAAGAAGTTAAACATAAAACTAGTCAATAAATTACACTAAAAATGTAGATGTGAGATCATATTATTTAATCTGGAGAGTTTTCAACTGAAAGATTTTAAATGACATATGAACAGCTTATCAAAAAGAATCAGAATTTAGTCAAATTTTTCTGGTAAAAAAAGAGCAGAAAAGTAAAGTAAATTTGCCAAAACTAACAAACCTGTGAAAGCTTTTGTGTTTTATGTAACAGCTGACTCTGATTGACAAACCATTCAATAAATGTGGGAAACTCCTTCAAGTAGAGAATTGCAAACAATGATTACTTTGAGAAATTAACCGTGTTTTCATCTCACACATTGATGCATTACTTCATAGTTTTGATGTTTTTACTATTTCCAGAATGAAGAAAAAAGCGCTTTGGGAAGGCGTGTCCAAACTTTTGACGTTACCACATATACATCATATTCTTCCAAATCTCTTGTGAACTTCCTTTGATTGTGGCATTGTGTGCTGCTGGGTGGGACGTTTTACTGAGCTCCACACAGCTAAACAATTTTCTTTACACGATCTTTGGAGAGACACGGCTCTGGAGTTATTCAGCTCTCAACGTTCCCACTGAGCCCAGTCATCAGAAAACTTCAGCAGATTTCTGAATCCATGTTTCAACAAGTTCTGCTGGTGCAGACAGTTCCTCTCTGTTATTTCATTGTTATAAGTTAAATAAAATACATTTAATTTAACTTATAACATGTATAATGTCATCTGTAGCCATGTAAATGTCGTTTTTACTGCAAAAACGCAAAATCTTACCAAGTAATCAGATAAAACAACTTCGTTTAGTTCATTTGTCGAGAAAGTCCAGTTCATTTGGGGAGGTGTGAATGCACAATCAAACTCTGATGTGGATTAAAAAAAAAAAAAAACTAATTCTGGTCTGCCTAAAAACCCACGTCTCGGTTCGGCTGATGTGAACTCTGTTGAGGTTTTAGTGCAAATATGGACGAAAGTGAACCGGAGAACAAAAGTAGGAAGTGGATGACAGTGCAGGGCATTATGGGTAAAAACACCCAAAACAAACAAGTGAATCTAGTGCTTGCAGGAGTAATTCCTTCTGGTCTTCTGCCAAAGACATAAGAGAAATCCTACAACCTCCAGAGTCTGATGCCACTCCATTTTTATTTACATTTCATGAAGGAGAAAGATGCTCTCAGTGTCTTCTTCAGACGTGACAAGATAACCTTTTGGTAAATATATCATAATTAGTTTATTCCTAGCAACAAAAATAAGAACCGCCTTTGAAAACCCATAACTGGATTTTGTCAATTTTGATTATTGGGTGTGATTAAGTCTGTTTTTGAGCAAAAAGTTGCTGGAGATTTGTGGCCCTATTTACTATGACGCTGAAATGAAAGCAAATAAACAACAAAAAAACATGGCTAGTAAAATAAAAACCTAAAATTGTTTTATTTAAGATATAAAATTTGTAGTTGAAAATCTCATACAAAAGAAACAAAATGTCTCCGTCTGCATCAACTTCATTTAAACATTTCCTGTACTGCTTCCAGGGGCCGCACAAAATTACTCCGAGGGTTGCAAATGTCCCACGGTCCGCACTTTGGTCACCTCTGGTCTATTGAATATAGAATTGTGCATTACATTATACAGAGCATGTAGATAAATTACTACTGTGTTATTCAAGACCTTAACATTTTCCTGTAGAACAATATTTAAAAGCAACAGACGAGGCGGTTAGGCCTTTGAAGGCAACATGACCAACAACGACAAAACCAGAACACTTCGGATATGACATGAAAGTCCAGGAGATGAAATTACCCATTAAAAAAAAACAAAAAACAGCTGAACAGATGTTAAGCGAAAACCTTCTTGCACAGAGCCACAGGAGACGCAAAAACGGTTAAAGATACTTACAGTCAAACTGGAAATTACAGTTTGTATAATTCTATTGCTTTCTAAGTTCTTTCAAATTCAGCCAGCTGCTTCAAGCCAACGCCAAAGCAATCATCCAACTGAGTATTTCATTGTGACGAAACTAACCACAGAATGCTCTTAGCAGAAACTGTTATTTCACCCTTCACCTTGCCATATGTACATTTTAAGGCCAATTATTTTTAAGTCACATTAAAAAACTCATTAGGATTCAGCTGAACTCTATCTAGTCACGTGTGATTTGGATGAAGTACGACATCGCTCATATAAGTATCCAAACTTTAGCGACTTGTCTGAGCCCCATGCCAAAAAAAACAGTTTGGAAAGTACAAGAGAGGAGGAATGTCTTGTGAAACCTCAAAGATTGTGGCTCTGCACTCGCAGCCTTGTATCTGCTGCCAGAAGGAAAGCTGCTCAGTTTCGGCCTTGGACTTTTTTCCTTGCAACTTAACGGAAAGGTGGCTGTTTCTCAAAAAAAAAAAACCTTGAGATCTTCATTTCAACAACTGGAATATTATTCTAAACATGAATAACTTTATATTGTGCATCCTGTCAAAATAATGTGTGCATAGGGGGGCAAAATGTTGAAGTAGCACTAATAAAACTAAAAAGTAGCCGTCCAAGAAATTACTCAAGTAACAGTAAAAATGTAAGTATAGTAACTGATCAAATTATCATTTATTATCTAAAAATTATGTAATCAGGTTGACCAAAATATAAAATGAAGTCTTTTAAAGATGAAAAAGGCAATGATTCATATAAGTAACAAAAAAGTAACAATTAGGTAAAAGAAAATATAAAATTTATGAAACTTTAACAAAAACTGTAGATGTGTGTGTCTGATGAATTTTTGGTGAAAACATGTTTGTTTTTCATTCAGTGGGTAGAAAATCCTGAAATGTTACACAAGTAAAAGTAAAAATCCTTCAGAATAAAATTACACAAGTAAAGTAAAAAGTACAACGTAAGAAAAAATACTTCTAGAAGTAATTTCTTTCAAAAATGTTACTCAAGTAAATGTAATTGAGTAGCTAGTTACCACCTAACCCTGGTGGTGTGTAACATCACCAGAATCAGGATATACTCATTTTTATTTGAAATTATGAACAAGTACAACAAAATGGTGCACATGTATAAAACTGTAAAAGTCCACAGAAGGACATATGGAGCCATGAATTAAAACAAACTATAGAACATGGGCAGAACATTTGTGTGTGTTGCTGCACAGCAATGAAAAAAAAATCTGCACACTTTCAAACATGCTGCAGGAAATCTGATCACTGTGTTTTGTCCCCTGCGTTGCACACAGTGTTCAGGGTTCAGCATCTTTGCATAATGGCACGTTTGACAGCGTCTCTGTGAAGTGCAAAAAAGTCGATGACAACTTTACACACAGTCCGGCACGTACTGCCGGACTCAGACAATAGCAAATTCAACATGACAAAAGAAAGAGCCGCTTATTCAAGACATTCCAACCAGATGGAATTCGACTTTCAACATGATAAAAAGCATCTGCAGAAACGAACCACACATTAAGTTCGCCATCAATAACAGCTGAAATGGACAAACTATAGACTGGGAATGAAACCAGAAGTTTGCAGGTAAACCTTACAGAACATATTTTGTCATTTCGTCCTATTTTTTCTAAAGATGTAAAAGAGAGAGTCTGTCAGTATGTGTGCAAAATATGGCGCTTTTATCCTCCTAGTAGTTTATTATCCTTATCGAATTTGACACAAATGACTGTGATTAAACATAAAAGTCTCTAATAAATGAAGAAATGCATCATATTACTCTGTTGAGCATAGTGCATAGAGAAGAAACGGGCCGGATCAAGGTGGAATTGGGACCTTAAGTAGAATTTCCTATTAACACCATCACTCCCAGTAACTGTTTCGATTCAGAGTTGGTGTAATCTGCACTGTAAAAAAAAAAGAAAAGGTAAAATACCGGCAGCTGTGGTTGCCAGAATTTTACCATATTTTATAATATGGTAAAAAAAAATATTCACCTAATTTTTAAAAGGTAATTCAAACTCTAATTTGAGCGTTCATGGGAGATCCCTGATGGTTAAAGCAGCGAATTAGTTTGCTTATGCCTTGGGCTGGCTCTGGTAAAGTACGAGCAAAACACAGACGATTAAATTAAGAGATAGCGACATTCTTAAACTACTCTGGCTATTTCAACTTCCTCTGCTGATTGAATCTGCTCTAACAGTTCATATAACAAAGGAGCCATTCGCTTAAACTGCTACCGCCAGTTCATTCAATTACCACTTAGGAAATGACTAGCACAGCTGAGCTAAAACAATAAGCCATTACGCACCACTAGGGTCCCTTCATTATCAGCATCTATGTGGAAATGAACAATCCAGCTGAGAGGATTTACCTCATCTTAAGGCAGCGCTGTCAGTGCTGAGAGGTGAGATGTTTACACACAGAAGTAAGAACACAAGGAGGTGGAGCATGATGGGAAACTGGGCAGTAACATGTGTTTTCCAGGCCTATAGTGCTACTTTATAGCACAATCAACTATGTTACCTTCACTTGTTATAAAATGCTTTGTCTTTTAAATATGCCTCAAAAGAAATTTGACTTTTTAATTTAGGGCCTTGAAATTGGGCCTCTGTGTGGCATACCACACTAAATTGATAATACCTATGTCTCCAGCTTTCATTTTGTCAACTAAAATGTTTCACCGCGGCAGCATGGCTACAGATGGCACGCACAAAATTTCCAGTTGTAAACAATAACATGCACCATATCTATGGAGTTCTGCTGTGCTCTAAACCTTCAGCGAGGACAGTAAACTGTTCTATTAGTGAGTGTCTAATGTTTTAAAGTGAGTAATTTTGAGTTATTATAAAATAAATATTTCATAAGCTAGCTTAGCTTAGCTTGCAAGATGCTGAAAAGCTTTGTCATGGTAACAGGACAATAGCAAACCTGTCAACGGTGAAAAGTAGAACACGTCGTAAACCCCTTCTTTCAGTTTGACTGGTGTTCACGTAAACTGATTAAATGTTATTCATGTTTTGTAGGGAAAAGGGAAGAATGTTGTTAACTTACAGTTTTGCTGAGGTAACCGGTGGAGATATTTCTGCATTGTTTGTCCTCGGAGGGGCAGCATCCTCCACACCTATATACAGACACACACGGTGGCTTATAGAAGACGTTGGTGGGAGCCCCGAACTCCCTGCCCACATCAACACACACTTCTCTGGGCATGCATTGAGTTTTCCTCCACTCCAACTCTATACCTGCACACAAAAAAGTCAACTGTTTGCAACATTTCTTTTCTTATCTTTTATTTTTTTTGCTGCACAAAGTATTGATCCCAATCGTCATGTGTTCAGTATAACAAAGACTTGGATGCACGCTTGGTAAGATATTACATTTAAAATGTCACAGAGTCACACTCTATATTAATATTGCCCTTAATGCTCAACATTATGTATGTTTTAGAGGCTGGGATACTACACTGCTCAAAAAAATAAAGGGAACACTCAAATAACACATCTTAGATCTGAATGAATGAAATATTCTCATTGAATACTTTGTTCTGTACACAGTTGAATGTGCTGACAACAAAATCACACAAAAATCATCAATGGAAATCAAATTTATTAACCAATGGAGGCCTGGATTTGGAGCCACACATAAATTTTAAGTGAAATGTTCCCTTTATTTTTTTGAGCAGTATATTATGCTTCCTTGAACAGGTTAGGATAGATCTATGGGCTTTACAAAACATGTTCATTACATTGTTTGCACAAAATTATTTTAAGATTTTAGTCTGCCCAGTTTTGTTGTTCTGCCTTAGGGTGTCTTGTCACTTTAAATTCAAATAAGCTGCTGCTGGCCAGGCCCCTCAACTCAACATTTACACTCGCATGTGAAAATGGCTGCAAACAGACTCGCAATTATATAACCATACATCTTAGAAAAGCAGAAGTAAAGTCTCCTGCACAACCAACAGGAATACAGTAAGTTGTTTCAGGATGGTAAGTCAACAACAGAACACTTTTCCAGCAGCCATTGTACAGTGGTATAACCAGCTGACCAAACATGCTGGAGATACACTTGGGTTGCTAGGTAACAGCCCCGTGCCCATCGATTGTGACTTAACAATCGGAAAGTTTTTGAAACGGCTCATTTTCCAGATACCAAAAAAGACATTAACTTATTGCCAAAAAATGGCTGGGTGCTTTTAGAAGCAGCAGAGACCTGAATTGAAGTACAAAATTGTGCAAAATGCTAATTTAATCTGATCATTTCAAGTTTAAACTAAAAGACAAGCTGAGAGACATTAGGAAATTCTGACAAACATCAGTATTTTGTCTAGACCTGGATACTAACTGTGACCTAATACACTCTTAAACACGTTATTTACACATGGATGGGTTTTTTAGAAAATATATAACTAAAGATAATGCTTGCATAACAATTAACAATTTGTTTTCTGTGCTTATGAGTTTAAATACTCTAACAGAATTGTAGTGTTTGTGCCATTTTTCTGAGAATATAAACAACAGAAAACCATTTTGGTAACTCATTGTTAGTTTTTGGCTGAATCCATTTATTATGAAACAATTTTTGCACTTTTTAAATCATAATGACAATAGAAACTACTGACCCAACAGACCACTGACAGCTTCAAGTCTTTTGTGGTAGTTGTGGGTGAGAAATGTTATTTTCAACCCATAAAGCTGCCAATTCTTTCTGGCCAAAAGTCTCCAGTTCCTGTAAAGTCTTGGGATTTCCTGGATGAATTGCATGTTTGAGATCTCTCCAAAGTGGCTAAATGATCAACACGGCCCCCCCATTCAGTAACTTTAGTTTTCTTTTTTTCTTTTCTATAATCTATGACAGGTCGACTTTCGTTTTGGATCAGAGCCACATGCAGGACTTCTGAGCTACTTCTGAGCTGATGAGTATTTTCTCATAACCTTCTGGATAAATCTTCCCATCAATTTTAACCAAATGCCTTGCTTCTTTGTAGCTCACAAGAACACTCCTGGTGTAACGTAGCGTTGATAGTCGTGGCCATAAAGTTAACTTTGTTTCAGGGTTTTTTGGCTCTTTGGGTCAAGTAATGACTTTCGTATGGCTACTCGACCATGCAGCACATTTTTTCTTTATTCTGCATGTCGAAACAGTTCCACTACCAGTATGTTGGCTGAAGCCATTTGTAGGTTTTCCTTTGTATGCTGAACAATTTTCCAGACATTTGTTGCTTGGTTCAATCATTTTACACTTCCTAATGAGGATTTAAACACAGTTAGCCATTGTACAGTCCTGTTTATAAAGCTCGCCACCTTCTCCCAGAAATCCTTTGAAAATGATTACGCTTTTCCTGTGATTTTAAACCCAGCAAGGTCAAAAATCACAGGATGACTGGGTGAAACACACAGGAGCCAGACACTCCCTGACATTTTAAACACACACACACTAATTTCAGCAAACAGCTCAAAGTTACCTTTAGGAACATTTTGCATGCTTGTTTTTTTGTCATCAGGCCTAAACTTCCAGCTTATGTAAACTTTTGATGAGGTGCATTTGAGTAGTTTCTGATTTTCACCATGATTTAAAAGGAGCAAACATAATAGTATAATATTTAATGGCTTCATCCAAAGATTAGTCATGAGAAACAGAGCCATTTTCATATTATATTCTCTGAAAAAGGGCAAATTTAGAGGCAGTTTCTAAGGAAGGTAGCGTGTACTCTTTCCCAAGTCTAATTTTCTTCTGTTTCTGTTATTTCTAAGTCAAATTGTCAAGAAAAAGTTGCTTGATAAAATGGACTGTTTAAAAGTAAACATCTGAAACAAATCTGAGACGCTCCATATAAACACCTACAGCTGACCACCAGCCAATGGCAAATATCTACTTACAGGCATTGTTCCCAGATGGGAAACTTTAGTCCGATAGCAAATGTTCTTAAAAACAACATAGCACTGTGCGTGACAGAAATCCTCATTATGTAAAACTCCTGTTGGAAAAAAGGCTTTTTTTGCATGTAGGTGTAAAAGGGGAAACAAGAAGACACTTACTTTTAAGGACATCCAAGTTGAGGTAGGCAGCAGCATATGTTGGCTCCTGGGCTTCAGAAAGGGGCCGCAGCCGGTGAGTCTGTGGCCGCTGAGTGAATTTGGAAGCTGAGGATGCAGCGGCAGAAAGTTTGGATCTGCACTTCAGAGCAGCCCAATATGAAGGATAGATCAGACTCATCAGTTCATCTACACTGGAGGCTGAACGCAGCTTCTGCTCCATGTCCGGCTTCGGTAATGTGTCCTGTAATTAACAAGAAACACCTTCACTCAGAGAGGGACTCCAACGTCAAAATATACATGGCTCCGATGATTACTTCTGACAAATCTGTGAACAGTTTTACAAAGTCACAGATTGTAGTGGCTCTGTGAAAAATTATCTATACCCTGAACGCTGAACGTTTTTTTTTTACGTATTTGTTAAAACTGTCAGCATGTTGTGACAGTTTGTTCAGACAGATAATCTGTGAAAATCAATGTCTTGCACCTCGTCCTAAAGTTATTATATCCGCCTGAGAAATGCACCACTAACAACCAAAAACAACCAATCAGAGCCAGAAGGCGGGGCTTAGCGCTGTCAATCAAAGCGGCTAAATGTGCTAAAGATGTATAAACAAATTATTGTTACCCTTCTTTGAGAATTGTTTTGATTTCATGACGCATAAACGGTTTCAGATCAAGCCACAGCATTTCTGTCAGAATTAAGGTTAAACTTTGACTACGCTGCTCCAAAACTTTTATTCAGTTTTTTGGGGGGCATTCAAAGGTGGAGTTGGCCCTCAAACTTCATTTTGCAAGCTGGTGGCCAGATATTCTCAGATAGGAAACTTAATTAATGGTTCAATCAGGTGCTAAGTGTCAGACAGAATTGTCAAATATGTTTTACTGTCAGTATAATGTTGTTTTTTTTAATATTAGCTTAGTTTTATCACAGATGTAACAGGACCCAGGGCTTCAAAAATGTTTACACATCAGTCCACAGAATATTTCTGCAAAAGTCTTCAATTGTAGAGATAATCCAGATGTTTATTTTGGTAAATGTTGGATGAACAGCTTTTAATTCAGCAGTTGTTCTAGACTTGAAACTCTCTCATTGATGCTATTTTTTCCAAGTTTCTTTCTTGTTGCTGAATCATGAAAATCATGAACATTATTTATGTCATTACCTGATACAAATGGGTCTTGTAGTACATTAGAAGTTGTTCTGGGTTCTTGTGTGTTCTCTGGGATAAGTCACCTATGTGCACTTGGAGTTATTTTGGAAGGAAAACCACTGTTCCAGGTTTTCTCCATTCGTGAAGGATGGCTCTCATTGTGATTCACTGGAGCTTCACATCCCTACAAGTGTTTTTATAACACTTTCTGCACTGATAGACAGCAGAGTCTTTGGTTCTAACCTGTTCTTTAATGTCTTTACATCAGGACATGTGTTGAATTTTAATGGAGCAGCACCAGTTGGCACCAATCCCATCTTCCCTAAGAAAAGTAATGCCACAAAACTGTAAGTTCTGGAGTAATGGCCCCTCCTGTGGGGTAGGTAGCTGGGTTCGGTGCAGCACATCTCTATGCGTCTTCAGCTTGGAGACTGCTACTTTTCTGCTTCACTGCGACCTCCCTCTGGGTTGAACACATGGCCATCCTGTGGGGGGTCTCTGGTGAAGCCAGATGCAGTCTTGATTTAATAAAATCAGTCACAAAACTAGCACATCATCTCCACATGTGACTAGCTTCTCCATATGGTCTGCCTGAAATGCTACGACATGCCAGGTGGTGCGACAAACAAACAACTGTTTGATTAATGTAATTAGGACTGAAACGATTAATCTGTGCTGATGATTAATTGTGATTAATCGACTATTAAAATAATCGTCAACTAATTTAGTAATTGATTAATTGTTAAATGGAGCATACAGACTCAGAAATGGAAATTTACTGAAAGAACAACAGTCAGAGCAGTAATTAAACCAAAATGGTACAAAAAATACATATTTTCCATTTAAGATAAAAGTAGACCTTTGTAAATATGTTGCATGAAAAACTGTATAAAAATGTCTTGTTAAGCCTTTTGCTATACAATTATTAATCAGTTAATCTAAAAAATAGTCACCAGATCAGCTCTATACTGTATTGATGTTAAGTCAAGTAGAAAGAGATGATTTTAACATATTGACATAAGAAGTATTTTTTTAGCTGCAGATGATCAAGAATTCACTAAAAGAACTGCTATGTTATTGCATTTTAGGTAGATTATGTCGAATTAAAACATTTATTTTATATATAAAATAATCAAAACCTCTTTATGCCATGAGTTAGTCATTATGAAAATGTTTAAGTATTAGTCAAACCTATAAGTCAAACCTATAACTGCATAATGTGGCAACAAAATGAAAAATGGAGGTATTTCTTGGTATTTCTTTGTGCAGTCACATTATTTTTGCTCTAATAAAGTTCTAGCTATTTTTCCATGTTTATGTTTAACACTTTAAACACCTTACAGAGAGTGAATAGGCCTAAAACAAACCTTAAGCTTTATTACAGGCCTTAGCAATTAAAATATAATGAAAACTATAATAATGTCCATCAAAAACTGAGAGAGAACCCATTGTTGTTGTTTTTTTCTCAGTGCTTGCAATGAAGGATCTTTATCTGGTGATTCTGCTGCCAGTCGGACATGATGTTACATTAAAAACTCTTGATTTATTTCTAATTAATAGGTTTAGTCAGGAATCAAAGCAGAACTTCAGGCAGCTGCAGTTTAACAAATTCATGACTAGTCTGCGTGACTGTTATCTCATTTCCTGACTTTTATTGCAGTTACTCGTATGCTATTGTACTATTAATGATAATGATCAATTCAACATTCACACAAACAGAAACAATACTTTTGCTGCAACCAAGGCCATATCAAACACAAGCATACACACACATGCCTTTGTATTAAAGGTGTTTCAAACAGACACTCAAGCAAACACTCAATTTCCCACTTGTAATGTTTCCTTTTGGAAGAATGTGTTTATTTACGAGTCTCCACATATTTACACACACACACCGACTGTCCTTCAGCATGGGAAAAAGCCGTCTCTCTGGATTTGTGAACCAAACAATTGAGAGCCTTTAAATGAGACTGTCACCTGACAGATTCTGCTTCCTGCCCTGAAACGCCAACAGGCAGCAGAGACTCAATTGCATTATGTCACAGCACTCACTATATTCATCTTTCCCCGTTTCCTAGATTTTTATAGAGCTAAGGGTTTTAAAATAGTTTTGAAATAAAGGAACCGCTAAGATAGCTAAACAAGATGAAGCGCATTTTGATTGTTGCTAAAATAAATAAATCTATGAGTGTTTTTAACTTATTTTATTAAGTTTTCCTATTTTAATCTGCTCACTAAGGGTGAAAAGAATTTGAATTGAATGTTACCAAGAGAAAAAGTAGAACTGCATATTTTCTAAGTGTACTACCATATTACCAAACATACTTACTCATGTTTACTCATACTTACTCATATGCAATACACCACTTGTTTGGTTACTATGACTCTGAAAAGGAGTATGAAGAAGGTTAATTTATTTAATCATACACCTTTTCCATTCTGTAGTTCATTACATGAATAATCTTACCATTACCCATTTCCCTTCTGAATCACAAATAGTTCCTAAGCCAGATGTAAATAATAAAAACACAGCTACCTATACATACATACGTACATACATACGTACCTACGTATTTTAACAATATTATAAATAAAAAAAATATTTGTTCTTTGAATGTATTTTGCTTTGTCAACAAGTTGTTTCTCCAGTTATTGTTCTGTTCTGCTGTTCTTGACGGTTGGTGGTTACCATAGCAACCAGTAACTTACAGCTCCTCCTCCTTTTTCCGTTGCTGTCTTTAACTGTGGTGCGCATTAGAATCAGCTCTGTGTTTTCTTTACAAGTATTATGTTTTAACATATGTTTTAGACAAACTGAATAATATACAGCGTTTCATGAATAATTTTGCTATGTTTTAATGTTGTCCATTTTAGCTATGTTTAATTTTACAAATGTTAACTCCTGCTAACTGCTCATTGGGAGCTATTGTTTTATAGTTTGTATTTACAGTTACGTTATGTATTTCATAAAATGTGCGCATAACCGAGAGCAACAAAAACTTCATACCTCTTCGTAGGCAGCCCAGCGCCGACGAGAGTGGCGCATCACTGACGTCATAACAGACGTCAGTGCTCTTAAAGTGACAGTACAAGTATTAGTGTTTAACAAAATACATTATAGAAAACTTAAAATATGACAAAAATTAGGATTCTTCAGTGTTAATCAGGATTTGGTGAATTTCAAACATTATAATAAAAAATAAAAGCAGATTTTCTGAGGTTGTTACACAAGCAAAAGGGGGAAATATGCAAATAGCAGAATAAACAAACAAAAAAAAAAAACTGCATTTATAAGTTCAATTGACGATCCGAAATATGCCAGTTTGACAGAAAAGGCAAGACAGAAGAAATCTGAGATGGAGCTGCTGCTGAAACAATAGCTTTTTCTAGAACATCCAATATGAAAGATGTTATTAAATAAACTTTTTAAATCCTAAAAACAAAGCTGAAGCATAGAAATCATTGTCTTATATCTGCTAAAAAGTTCAGGGTCTAATTGTCTGGGAAAAGAGTAAAGATACAATTTCAAAGGTAAGGAGGGAGGTTTTAAATCATATCTTCTGTTTGTTGTATCTGATTACATTACATTGACATTTTTTACTGAAAGTACAGAGAAATATGAGGCGCAAGGTCAAACTGATGCAGACAAAAGTCAAATGTTTTTCTGAAACGCCTGAACGTTTCATCATTTGTTTATAGAAAGCCTTCTGAAGTGGTGTCACAAATCCTGAAGGTGTTTATGGATCACAGGAACATAACTCTGTACACACACAAAAATTAAATGAAAAAAGAAATCACCCAGCAGGCTCCTTCTCTGCAGGATTGACAGCTAACACAAACAGCCAAGTAGCTGGATTTTCCAAAAACGAGGCAGAGCCAACAAAACACTGATGAGGAGCTGAACCCTAAAGAACAGATGGTAAAACACTCAGACACGCAGCCGATGTGGAAAAGCCCTGTCAGATACGCAAACACAAAGAACATCAAAGAAATACGCTTCTTAAGCCACTATATAAAAAATGTTTTATGTGCTGCTCACAGCTGACAGCTATTTTATAAGACAGTTTGAACACGAACATAGTTTGTACCT